TAAAGCCACGAGCACAAGAGGGCGTAAGGTTAAGTAATCTACATACAATGGGCGAGGCATTTGAAGTCGCTTCTAATCTCCAAATATGCATTACCGTTGGGTACAAAAAAATGCCCAACTTCACTAGAACAATGCACATTGTCATAAAATAGTCAATTTAATACGTCTTCCAAGCATTGGAATTCGACAAATATTAATGATAATTTTAGAGAAAACTTCAGCTAAAAGGGCATCGAAACAACAAGAAAAAATAGTGAAATAAGGTTAAGAATCCTTGCAGAGCAACAGTCACATTCAACTAATTAATAGTTTTTTCTTCAATGTCATATCTGAAAGTCACAGAAAAAAAACTAACAGAATTAAAGATCCCGAGGGAAGGCACCAAACAACGAAGTGACTCCTTGTTTGGTAGTAAATTTCATGCATGAATGCGGTGAGCGCGAGAGGAAATGCTGCTGACGAACAAATGCCGTGAGCGTCGCACTGCAGAGTACCACGCATCTCAGCTGAGTCAGGGTTGATGTAGTCATGACCTGACCTTCGTAACCAAGCTTTATGTTCATTGGCCTCGTGGGTAGCAGACTTAAAGAGAAGAGCAGCAGTTTATTTGTATGGTTTGGTAATCTAGTAACTCGCATATATGCAGATAAGGGGAAAGGTCTGTCGAATTTAATTAAAAAATGAAATTTCTTGCATTATGCAAAACCAACAGTAAAAAAAAACGGTTATCATATTTTTTTCCAAGTGATAACAGACGGGAGGCTCGTTTCAATAACGATCCATAGTTGCGGGCAAAGAAACAACAAGTTTAATAAACAAGGCGCTAATCACAAGAAGGGTGTTTACCAAAACGTGTGAATTATGAATAATGAGAGCTGCCACCGAACAATAAATTCTGAAAATGGCAACAAACGAAGCAGCTACAAGGCCAGATTCGAATAACAGTTCCTTATGAAGTCACAGAAGACGCGGTGAGATGAAGGCGAAACGCACAACATGGCACGTGACAAAAAAAAGAAAACGAAGTACGATAAACACTAGCTAAAAGGTAAGCCATGAACCTGAACGGGAGTAAAAATTCTGCAAGGCAGGTGGCATTGGTGTCTGGTTTATCAAGTGCGGCCTTATAAGCGAGTGCACTAGGCGACATCCACGGAATAAAATCAACCATGTTTGCACCGGTTGCCTCCCACACCCGAGCCTTGCATTGCCTCGGACGTAGCGGCGTGGGACGCTATAGACTCGAGCGCACACCGCTCACGCAAGACCGCGGCGACTTGATGTGTCTTAGTGGGATGGAAGCTACGAGATCCAAGCTCAAATACCGCTCGAGCAGCGCTAAGTGATTTGACGTGCAACTGATATCCAGCGCTTGTAAAGACGCAAAATAAATGGATGCTCAATCTCAAAAACCTGTATTACAACTGAACAAAAATGTTAGTACATGGAAGATGTTTCTTCAGTACAATGTTAATCTTCGTCAGAAGAGATCATTGAATTTTTTGGAGGTCGAAAGAAACAGATGTTTCAACAGCTGCCACGTTTAACTCCTTGTTAATAGACTGAACAGAAGAAACAATCCGATCAGTTCAAGGCTTACACGGAGAAGGTAATTGCAGGGGTCGAGCAGAAATCGACGCATCCATCACGCGATTTTTGTAATGCATTCCACAGACCAACTTCACGGTCGCTGAAGCGCCGTAATATCCGCGTTGCATCCACTTTACGAGGAACTTCAGCTTTAATTCGGATAAATCTACTCGGTAACTACTGTACATCTGTCGTCTTAGCCTACAAAACCAAAACTTATTAGGATCTGCCTGAATGTTTCAGCGTTGACAGCTGTCGAGGGAGATATCACTACGAGCGAAAGATAAATAGATTGGTACTTTATTTTTGGGCCTTTGGCACTCGGCAATAACTTAGATATAGAGCCACACAATTCAAGATAAACAACATAAAAGTGGCTTTATCTACAGGATTCACCATCCATACAAGGCAAAGGGTAGAATCATAAGCGGTACAACAGCAGGTGCTCGCGCGTAGGCAGAAAGCAAGGGTAACTGCGCTGCGCCAGCGAAACGCTGATAACACCCACGAGATCGTGCGCAACATAGAAAACTGAACCGAACTATGGTAGACTGATTAAATTTTAATCGATGGCTTGAAAAATATTTTCCCTGCATGATATGGAATGTTCAATTTAGAAATGATACCCTCAATGTATATTGTAGCTATATAAATTATAAATGAAACCAAAAGATTTATGCAGGTCAATCTTATGATTTGTGGTAGGTAATTTAATAATACGACTTCGTAAAATATTGTTTCTGCAAAGATAAAGTGTCTAAAAAACTACGTCGAAATGAATATTTCATAACGGTAATCGTTCGCCTTCAGCCCTGACGAATTGTACACCTTTAATTAGGCTGGACTGAAAAAATGTGGCGAAAAAACATCCGTTTTTCCATAATACCCCTTCCAAAAGCATTTTGATAAAAAAAAGTAGACGCGCTTATTCTGCATGAAAAATCGGATGGCTAGAATATGATAAGAGCTGCAAGTAGCGCAGAGTCTGATAAATACTTGAACACACCCGAAAAAAAAATTTTGAAGGACAAATCTCGCATGATACTCCAAGACAAGCTTGCACAAGAACGCTAACACCAGGAGAATTTTGAAAAAAACTTAGCCACATTTTGTGGTGCAATTGCACAGCCGCGTCGCCATGGGTGGTTACTACGCAAGCGTCAACTCTCTCGTATATAATTTTTGCCCCATAATATAATAATAAGAACCTTTACGAAAGGAGCAAAACTCGCCCGCAACGTAAATAATAATGACAATGTGACAACCGGGGGCGCTCACGCCGGTTGAAGTGAATCAAAATCACCCTAAAAATTCTGAACTTACACAGATAAAAAATTAAAGTTCATGTTTAAATTCCCAAGCAAAAAAATATGTCGTGAAATATTCTTTATCATGAAAAACTTATAATCGATTCCAGTGAGTTCTAAGTGTTCGACTGGTTACTGATAAGAACGTATATTATGTGAAAAATCATGAACTCAAGTCAGACGGCATAGTGGGAAGAATAATGCGGTTTGAATAAAAATTTACTGATTTAATTTAGAAGGTTAAGCTTAGGACAGAAGTACCTTCGAGAAACTCAAAAACTTTTTCGATGAACAATTTTAAATGAAATAAAATATATGGTACTTGAATGTAGATAGTTGCAGTAATCTTGTTGCAATTGCCTAATCGAAACATTTTTCAACAGTATCTCAACATTACTTCTGTCTTGAACTTAAACTTGAAAGCATTAACAGAAAGAACAGAGAGATGAAGAAGACGTTAAAAAAAGTACGACAGGGGCATCAGGGGTGGTGCAGCAGGCAGTCTGACCGCAGAAACAAGAAGCTTCTCGGCAACGTATGTAAACACCGGATGCGCCGACAGGTTTTTGTCCAATACAGATATTTTTCTGGGCGGCGATACAGAAGAGTTATAGCCGCAGGATGTTTCTTAGCTTTTTTATTTGATCAAAATCCAATCAATTGATAACGTCTTGCTAAAAGTTGTGCACAATGTTCGTAGTTTTTGAAACCGAGAGAATTGCTGATGTGGTGCTGTATTAATGAGATGACGTATCAAGGATAATATTCGACATTTTTGTATCCCTTTTTCCGGAATTTAATACACTGTTACGTTAAAAGTAGATGTACATCAGAGGAATAAATGATAAAAATGCATCATAAAATAATTTAAAAAACAAGAATGAGCCATTCTCACGAACTCAAGAAGCGAGCACAGACCAATCTCAGGGGATTAATCTACAGAATAATAGCTAATTCGAAATCTATCCCGGCAATTTTCTTCAAAATGGTTTAATAAAATTTTCTATAGAATTGCATCTGGTTAAAATTTTAGGATATTTAAACTTCAAGTGTAATGGTAAATTCACAAAATTTCATGTATGTTTGTATTTTAATGTGATTTTTTTTTTCAGGTAGAAAGTAATCAACGTTGGCATCGATGGAACGCAGTGCCATTGCATCGCATGTTAACAAAGCCGAATAAAAGTAAAGCCTTACAATAATTAGGAAAAAAATGAAACTAAAACCTTGAAATTCATCAGGCATATCACATAAACTTTTCGAACAATGAAAATTGCAGTTCTTGGAATTATCATGACAGTGAAAGCTGACACGATGAAAGATCGTGAGGCAAGGACGCCTAACCGTTTAAATAAACAAAATTCAGGTCGACAAGCGAACATTGGAAATTATTGAGCATCGGCTGTGGATTGAGGCTTTAATTCACTACACTAGATACCTCAAGTTTGACTTCACTTCAATTTTAAGTGAGAATAAAACTTTTATAGCGTATTGATGTTATTAACAGAATTAATACACGAGCATTGTGATTTCGTATTTCAGCCTTTCCGATCGTCTAAGCTATGCACTAAGAGTCAAAGTATTTTTAGACCAAATTACCTTCAAAAAGCTCCCTCAGTATAGGGTAATTAACGAGCCGTAAAGCAGCAATTAAGCTAACAACAGGGCGAGCGCAGTATGCATCTTACCTGCAAATAGATTCTAAGACCATGATTCTCGAACCTTTTTCGATCATTATTTTCAAATGCATGCAGGTAGATAATAATGTGAATGTTATAATAAAACTATTTAAAATGAACGGCAGTTCTGAGATGAGAAGAATCAAAGCACTGTATGAAGATATTAAACCTTAGTTCAAAACATCCTACACTTCCAATTTCCATTCAATTGTTTTTCCGGAAAAATGCAGTCATTATTGATTTATAACGAGTTATTGTCATCGAAAATAAGGATGAAAATTATGACATTAGCTTCGCTTTGAAGTCTAGGAGGAAGGCAGGTGTAAACCTCAACTCCAGAATTCCAGAACCTGGTGTTAATTTTCCTCAGCCGAAAGCGTGAGCATAACGGTAACCTCGACAAAACTCGACAAAAGGTACGCACCTGGAAGTAGAGGATGATCGTCCAAATGAGGCCCAGCGTGAGCTTCGGGTTGCCATCTACGATGTCTTCGCATCGAATGTTCACCACTTTGATCTGGAAAGGACAAAGACTTGAGCATTACCAAGCTTGGATTTTAATAAAATATAGCAATGAGATTATACAAAGGTACACATAGTTTTAAGCATGAAAAGTTAAAGGCTGACGCAGAACCTAAAATAGTATAGAAAAGGTGTCGGTGTATGCTGAAGGTAGCAACATGGACATAAATAATTATCCACGGCATTGCTTCTTAACAAGTTGACAGCTATATGCAGTGATCACCGAATAATATCATTTTGCAGTGCAGCTAAAGTCTTCAGCCTTAAAGATTGTATAATGAGATGAAAGATGTTACAAAAGATAGAATCAATCAAGTAGTAGGAAAAAATTTTAAATAGCTAAATTTTATTATTAACAAAAATTTGGTCTAGTAACTCAATGATAAAATGCCCCTATGCAACTATCGCACAAAAAAATAAGTGCTGGAACCTCTAATCACAAGAAGTAGCTTCATCAACGAAAATTTATTACCTGACGTACAATAAAAATTTGCATCGTGAAATCAAATGCGTTAAAGTTTCTAGAAGCATTCAATCTCGCATTTGGATAGCACAAGCTAAATTTATCCAACAAGTTAAAAAAATTGACGATTTGATTAGCTGGAGTATTCAGCTAGATGATGCAATATCACGAGCAGAATCCGCAGACTGCAACAACATTTTTTCTACCTATTTCAACGCAGTTTACGAGACGGGGAATGTTACACCTGTGGGGCCGCGGACGCCTACAGATCATTGTTGAGACCCGCAAAAAATCCAACTCACGAACCGAACACGGCAACGTAGAGCATCTTATACGAACTTCAACACTTGCTGCTCAATGTGCACCCCGCAAAATAAACACAACGATGGACAATATCTTACACCAACAAGAACCCTTAGTGAAAAAAAAATAAAGATAAAACATCTTACATAGCAACGTAAAATTTCTTGCCCTTGGTTAAGCGCAGCACGCGTGCGAAAACGAAACCCGCAGCAACCACTTTCAAATCTTGCAGAAAAATAAAGCTGACTTTTTTGCTTTCAGGAAAAAAGCGTTTCATTTTTGTTAAAAATAGCATGGTATGAATGGGACGGTTCAATAAAAAAACATTTTTGCACATCTTTCAACAGATGACTTTGTTTCCTGGTGACTGATATAAAACTACATAAGTAACCTAAAGAATGCCTAAGCATTAATGGGGGCAACACACAAAATGTAGCAGAAGTAACCCTCATGCGCTGTGCGTATTAGAATACATCATTCTATTTCACTGGTTCATCAGCTACTACAGCTAGAAACCCTTAGTTTTTGCTAGAATTATCATCACGAAACAATAAATGATTCAAAGTTCTAACATTGCTAAAATTTCAAACTTCGACTAATTTATCAAGAAATTTGGTATTTATCAATCCAGTCTAGTTAATATGAATATAGTCAAGCAATAAATAGATCAACAAAATGAAGAATATGAACTTTTCTGAAAAACGCTCCATGTATTCTTAGCGATAAAACTGAAAGGCCAGATAAGCTGCAGTTCTCAAGAAGTAAGAGAAAGCTAACATAAAATGGGTACGAAGTGCAAATTTTCATCTCGGAATTCTGAAAACATTTACATACAATAGACTTGACTTCACGATCGTCTTCACTAGATCGACTCACACATATTTGCGCTGAACAACAGAAAAAAGTTTTGGAGCTCCATAGAAGAGTTTGAGAAACCATATAAGTTGCGATGCAGAGAAAGTAATTGCCCAATTTCCATACTCGACCATCAAACCTTTAACCCCATCGGCAACAGGCTGTTATGAGATCAATTAGAATATCCATTTGCAATCAGCAAGAATGAAATATATCTTCACATCGACAGCCTTACTTAGCTATAATTCCATTATCAAAATATCTAAATGACCTACAAGCAATACCCTAGAGATATTTCATTAAAACTGCATTAATTGGCATTAATTAAGACAGTGGTGTAAAAAAAAAGTTCACTCAAAGTCAGAATGAAATTTTGTGCAATATTGGAATCACCGAAGATCACGATAAGAACTGTTAATTATTGTGCGCACTTTGCTCGGTTAATAACATAAATAGTCGTAACAAGAAACATCATGATTCTATTTGTGTTATAGGGTTAGGCATTCGTCACTGGTCGGCTTCGATAAGGGTAAAAAGTAACGAATATGCTCAGAAGGCTGGTCGTGCATGATTGAAAAATTACAATTTGGGAGAAGCAACGCATTCCCGAAGAAAATTGCTGGCAAATCAATCACAGACAGAAAAAAAATTTTTATTCTTACTGTTTTCAAATAGTTATAGTGTTTTCAAAACAGTAATGGAACAGAACAAAAAAAAAAAAAATGAGACAAATTAACATCAGCCATAACAGGGAAGCATTACAAATTTACAAGTTGCTTACCCTTAGCCTGCTGCTATTAAATTCATTTAATAAAACTTTTACTATCGGTTAAGTCTATTTCGATTTGCACTGAGATTGATGTTTCAATACTGTCTCTAATACTATGTTAAAACTAACATAATTGGAAGGTTACTGACATTACATAGTTCCTCTCGGTCTTGCATTCCTTAGAACCGCATAAGATGTAACTATATTCGATTACATAATTTTGAAGTTATGTAATTGACATCAAATTCTTAAGGGTGAGCAACCAAATGATTAGATACAAATTTATATTTTATGCGTTTGCGAGGCTTTTTTTTAATCTAATCGAGCGATTATCTAGAATACTTATCGTGTATATATTGGGATACGATCTGCCTAATATTTTCTTTTTGGTCGGAGAGGCCACGTGTAATCAGAGAGAAATCCAATATATTTGATAATTCAACCGACCTGTAATAGCTGAGCCGCTTTTCAAATGATAGGAAAACAGTTTTTAAGTGGAAGCTCGACCAAGTCGCAATGGCAATTGGCTTGATTAGGTCGCAATGACAACACAATGCCAGAATTCAAAGGTAAAATAATAGAATGCCACGTCACAGACTCTTTAAGTATTTCATGCAAAAAAAAAATCATTGAAATAGTTGCTAAAGGAGATATTAAGTTTTACAAGTTCCCAGATAGCTTTAACAGGAAACAGTGGCTTACGAAAATTTAACACTTAACTGAGACGCTGCAGTACAACTCTCAATTTTGCTAGCTACCCCTGGCATGAAAATAATAATAGGCACGTGAGGACTTTGTGAAGCAATTGTACGCCGAGGACTTTGTGAAGCAATTGTACGCCGAGGACTGTACAAGACCCAGGCCAGGTTTCTCGTCGAGACCGTCAAGGCGCATATCATAACTGTCACTGAATCCTTCAAGACAGCCGGCCATGAAGCGTCTAACGCAGCCGTGACGGATAAAGTCTCAAAGAATATCCAGCGTTTTCAGGATGTAAATACACACATAATTCAACAAGCCCACGTCGTCAAAGACGTGCGGCCGAGTGGTTGAAAGTCTCTGCATGGCGCGGAGAATCCCATGTATCAAATGTTGTTTAATGAAGCAATGTAAACTAAAATAATGTTTTCGACACCAATTTCGACTCATCGTGGACATAAAATGGGCGCAATACACGGATAAACAAGTATATCAAACAGAAGAGTTACGTTTTTAAAAGCAATTATTATTGAACATTAGTAATTATTGTGACGGCACTACTACCAAACTCTAACAAGGTCGTTAAGGTAGATCAGTGCAGGTATTTAATTCTCGAAGCTTATTAGCGAAAAACATTACTGAACAATAAATGTATCTCAGGAACTTCTCCAATAAGCAACCAATTATAATTTAATGTAACAACTCTAAGAAAACTAATGCAGAATCAAGCGATGCAAAGGAGCTCTCGCATCTTGGTGCAGAAACAAACCGTATCAAATTTTTCAATTGCTTGCACGCAACAGGGAAAGACACATGCTTGAATCAAACGAGAGTTTACTGCCTGCAGGCTGAGTTAGAAATGCTCGAGGTCAGTAAGCCTTGCAGAGGTATAGTGTGAGTTGGCGAGACGCTTCGTAGCGCGGCGTAATTGATTACGGTCACGGCAGGTTATGAGGCGAACAACAGACATGGCTGGACGTGTGGCGGGGATACAGGCTGCAACACTATAGGCATGCATGCAAGTATGGGAACCTAACCGTGCAGGTTAGGCGGCCTTCAAGTGAACGTCTTAAAAAAAGTTTGGTGGTTCACGAGCGGAACATGAGCGGCAAGGCGCTAAGGTGGAGTCACTGTCTGCTGAAAGGTCTACCAGACCAATCTAGCTCTACCAAAGCAAGCTTGATAAAAATTACGAGAGAGCGCGAAATGCAGACAACTTTAAACAATGTATGCAGAATCTAGTTTCAAAACTTATAGTGCCATTTGCATTAATTTAACGCTATAAAAAATCACATAATATTCGAGTACGGGTTTCAACATAAAAATGACTCCCGTTTTGTATTAAGACTATTTGCCAGCTATAATAAGAAATAAATACCAGTCTTATATTCCGTCGGTATTTGCAAATGGCAGGATCCACCATGCGACCAATTTTTTGGAATTGAAGACCCCTAGACCCTTGATGCTATGCTTCGGGGAGATGTAATTATCAATCTTTAGAGTACGCGTAAATCTGAAATGAAACTTGACTAAACGAAGTCAATATTAGCGAATAAAAATTTTTTCGTTGAAGAACAAGAACAATTTAGGAGATGCGGCTCAAATGTTATTTTTATCATTGACGGTCACTTGCTTTATATAAGTGAATTGAAAACAGTCACCAAGTTATTATAAGCACCTAAAATATCAAATTACGATTATGCACGACGTCAGAGTGTTCGCTGACTTATACTAAGTCAACCCATAAATGAACAAATCAAGAAAAATGTATAGTTGAGGCATTGGATATAGAACAGATTTGTAAAACGAATTTCAAATCAGAACTCAACGATGCAATGAACTCATTAGGCTAATCATCGGGGTGCAATGAAGGCAGGTTTTCATTGAGCTCGGTTATAATTGCACAGCAGTCACAATAAAGTTGAAGCAGGTTGATATCTATGGTGCAGCGAAAACAACTAAGTTGAAGTAAGATGAATTCATTTGCGATGCAGGTACATTTTAGCTCAATGAAAATTGCTCCGTTGATCATCCAATAATGTACTGAATTCAAATTATCCCAGTGTGTATCTAGTTCCGCTCATGAATTTTATTTAATTTTTAATTCATAAAAAGATGAACGCACCGAGACGATTATCTTACAGAATCGTGTACAAAAATGTCCGAGTTGCATTAGCAACAAAATTATTATCAAAATAATGCGGAACTGTACCGTTGAAGACCTCAAATGTGTAACTACGACAAGATGCTAATTTGGTCTAAAGTTTAAAGAGTATTGAGGCCTTAAGAGAATAGATTACGATCGCAAACAATTGATCGTTCGTAAGCCGTGAAATACTAGTTATAAATGCTGGTAGATTACAAAGAAGGGATGATGTTATCGAGGCGTCTGCTTATCTGCGATCTTAGGTCATGGGCGGAGTGGGTGGCTGACTAAAAGGCTATCCTAATTTATGGAGGTTCAGTGAAAGTGATGAAGCTTTTTCATAAAAATGAGAATTCCTCACGCAATAGCGATTAAAAAACATATCTTATATAGCTCATTTGAATAACCATAGATAGCACAACAAAAACTTGGATCGATTGGCGAGAGACCACCAACATGAGAATAAAATATGAATTTAAATAATGAACAATTTTCTAGGAAATTAGCATTTAAAGTTTCCGTTTTTTTGTATGATTCGGGGTTTCTACGGGTTTTACGGCAAGTAAAAGCATTTGGCATCACGGGAGTATTCAATCCAAACATTCTCAAAACAAGGGATAATATCTTTACAACGACTGCAGATTAAATCAAAGACGATTGAGAAACAAGGCGACTCAAATTCTATAAAAAAATGAACCAACGCAAGGCATATATGGTACGTTTGAATTAGACGCAAAACGTGATCGTCTACCTGGACAGAAGACGTTTGCATGAGAATCTTTAATATTTGAAAAATGCACACCGTTCCCGGACATGACCTAATCAAGTCAGTATCAATTTCTTGACTGAATTCTTTGAGGCTTGCACACAAAAGTTTTTTATTGGTTATCTTTCAACATTTTTCACACTCTATTGATTCAGTATGCACACCGAACTTATTTTTTAAGGAACAGTTCAGGGAAACTGTACCTCGTATACATAACTGTTCTATTTTCCCCACTCTTTGTTCAAAGGAAATATTACCATTGGTTTTATACCTCTTGGTTTTCTGGGAACAAGGGTCAAAGGTGAGGCAGCGGCGGCAGGCGCACTGCATGCATCGGCAGGCAAGCGGCTGGACAGCTCTCGGCAGCTCAGAAATGAGGGGAGCGTTCACTCTTTGCAGTCTGGACACTCGACTGCATTTACCTAAGACAGGCACAACGCCGGGCGACCACCCCACCTCAGTTATAAGTCATGGGCAGAAAGATTATAGGTGGCTAATGAATGGCCGGAACTCAGACAGCAATGATTTGGCTCGAATTTCGGGCCAGGCGAAATACGATCAACACGTCGAGGAGATCCAGTGGTGGCCTTAAAAGATGACTTCAAAAAATGACCGCTATCACAAGATGAGTTCCCAATACCGGCTGTCTCAACTACAGTTTTACGATCTGGGCAAGAATTCTTGGATTTCCTTACAAGGATTAAACAACTAAGCAATCGGCGAATAATTCATTCACGCTCATGTTGCTGGCATATAACTAGACCATCGTATAAGGCGGAATCAATTTGATAGGTACAAGAATGAACACAGCAAGGTTGAAGTATGGTTGGCCGAGGATTACCATCACTTTTTTCCAATGCAATTGAACTGTTGAAAATAGTAATCCATGCCTCTGGTGGAGCTCTTAAAGATCATTATAAACATTTTTGCAGGAGCCAAAAAACACTTTCGTTCTAGAGAGTTTTTTTCCGAGTCGTAAAACAATTCTAAAATGTCACGAGAAGCGATTTTAATAGGATTTTTTTAGGATTTCAATACAAGTGTCCCCTTTCATCTCTCAAACAACAAATGCTCATAGTCATTCAACTATTGCGGTTCAATTTTCACTTGGAAGTTCTGTCTGGCATTTAATCTCTTGCAAAAAAAAAAAACCATCATCGACTGATACAACTGACTTCTAGCGAGCTCAGTCTGCTCCGAATGTGTGAAAACCCAACTAATATGCCTTTCTGTATCACTTCATTCACATATATAGCATACCTAGCCCCATATACATCAAATCAACCAGATCTTCGAGAGAGACTGGACGAGTTGCGACTTTTCGTGATTGCTACGCATGTGAGCTTCATTCCGCTTACGTACGAACTTCTTGCATTGCTGTTCAATGTAATGGAGTTTTTACGGTCAGTCACCCGTGCGTGTCTGATCCAGGAAGTCGCATATCACTCAACTGCCCGTAACAACTGCCTAAAACCTGTCATTGCTCGATACTCAATTAATTTACCATGCCTAAAAGCATTCGTTGTCAGCATATACATATAACAAGGCCCTCTCTACGGAGTCTTTGGCAAAGAAAGTTCTATCATCACTGCAGGAACACTGAACTCGACTTGGAACACTGGAAATACTTATATTTAATATTAATGGCTTTCATGAATTAGTGACGGCAGTAGAACATCGATAACATCTTTTTTATAAAAAAAACAAAATTTATAAGAAAAAATTTCTCCTCAGTACATAGGACAGATTGAATCTTTAAATAATAGCCACCCCCGTTGTCTAAATTGGCCTCCCTACGCATGCTATGCTTACAACTCACGCCAGGCCCAAGATTATCATGGTTAAAAAGTTTCACCTGCAATGATGCACCAAAATAAACAGCTTCTTATTTGTTCTTGTGGGAATACATGTGTCTCATAACCTTAAGAACATCTCAACATCTCACCTGTCTGTATCTGAGGAAGTCGAGCGCGTACTGCACATTGTTAAGCATGTGGAAGCGCATGTGGCCCTTGTCGCGGGGCAGCGACTCGCCGCTCAGCACCTCCAGCAGCGAGATGAGAGCGTGCCCGTCCCGCATGTCGTTGAACAGGTCGTGCACTTGCCGGCCGGCCTGTGAAATGAACAAGTTTCCGTAAGGTTTTGAAATAGCGGAATGCTGGAAAGTGAAATGGACACTGAATTAGGAACACCAGCATTCACTGGGAACCTAAATTTTATTTTGTTGACGAAAAGAAGGGGAAAACAACGCTACAAATTTAGAGTTCAAGAAACTAGACGTCAAAACAATAATCTCTGCACTTTATTGTTTTGACTTGACGTTAAAACAATAATCTCCTAAAAATTTCAGGAAAGGTTCAATTGAATAAAATGTCTTGAAAATAGGAAGCTCGAGGCAAATTTTTTGCATTTCTGAGTTTCTATTATATTGTAAAAGTTTCAGAGAATTTTCCGGTCCACGCTCCAATTCAGTGGAAACAAACTAAGATGAAAACGGGAATTTTTCGAGGAGCAAATGCGATTTATGACGACTAGCACATTTTTTCTCCTCACGATGACTAGACGCATATTGAATAACCTTATCACTTATTCGTCCAGTACATATTAATAAACATCAAGATTATTCTAATAGCATATCATGCACATACTCTGGTAATATTCATCTGGGCGAAAACTTGATTGTAAAACGATGCATTGAACATCAAAGCATAATACTTAGCTCAGAGAAAAATAAACCTTGTCGCAACTAAAAAATCCTCAAACAAAAATGACCAGAAAACATACGCAAACACCAAATTATTAAGTGCCTAAATAAGTCGAACCAGCTATCCATTATTCTCTATATGACCCGTAAAACTAAAGTTCATGAACAAATCTACTCGCTGATTTTTAATATGTTATATAACATTATGCCGTTCATGACAACTAAGAAGCAATTCTAAAATTGCATTCCCGATCAGCTGGACATAAAAATAGAAACAAATCGGTCCCGACATGATGCACTGCATAAGACGAATTAAATTTGCCAGAGGCCGTCGACGAGATCACATCACGACCTCTCATTAACTCGCTCACTTGATCGCCTGGTTGGGTAACAACGCTACTTAATTCTTGTTGCTCGAGACCCGACAGATTATTTCTGAGAGCCGCTATAGAGCAGCACGCTATTGATGGGCCACGCTGTAACAGTGATTTGCCAACACATATTGGCCATTAATTATGAAGAAGTGATAAAAAATTTTATAACGTACATAACTATAATGACAGCAATGAAACTCTACACTAAATCAACTAATTATCATCTACAAATCATAAAAATTTATTCACATCGACATTAGCATCTTGTGGTTGGCCTTATCTGCAGTTTAACAGTAAATTAGCCCGTAGGAATGTGTTCAACGAAATAAAAGGAGTCATGTTTCAATCAAGGCTATGGAACCAGTAAAAAAATTCAAATCATATTTTATGAAACCAAAGTTTAACTATTCTAATATTGTTTAGAAATGAACACAAACTAAAGAATTTGGAAGCATTAAATAAATTTCAATATTGACGCAACCAGCACAACTTGCGCGATCAACGATGTCAAACAATATTGTAGAAAGAGGCATCATAACAGAATCAATGAGGCCTAAAATTAAGCAATTACTAACTGCGCCACAAATTGTCGGGAACGCCGAGAAGAATATAGTATAGGCGATATGTCCTGTGAGGCTCACACTCAAAGTTCTTTCCCAGGCTTTATAAAACACACGAGACGCGAACCAAGAATTACTAGCTCGGTGATGATGATCATCAAAGTTGCTCTTATAATCCGGTGATTGGAAGCGCTGTATATATGCAAGCTTCATTCTTTGTGTGGCAATAAATAAAATCGCTCACTGCGTGCGCTGGATTTGAATGCAGGAGACATGAGATGAATTCATCGCAATACACGAACATGCATGCTCTAGCTACAATGCAAAGCCGTAATTTTTAAGATATCAACGTATATTTTTGGGCTGGCTGGGAATACTGTTCAGTAATAAGAAACGTTAAATAAAATAAAAAAGTGGCTACACGGAGGATTAAAATACTTACGAGGATGGCTAGACGACGGGTCAGCTATAGGGATTAAAAATGGAAACTAAATAAATTCTACAGGATGCAATGTATATAAAAGGTTCATAATTAACACACAGTAGAAGCAATAAAATGATGATAAACTAATATCTATACAAAGTAGGAAATAGAATTTTCGAGAAAATTTTTAAATGGATAAAATGACATTGATTAAGGAAACATGTTCTCGGCAATAAGGGACGTAAAAGGCTTAAAAAATATCCGGTTTTACTTACTACGTATAAACAGATAAAAGCAAAAATATTAGCCCGATATTTTCATTACACACGAACTCCTATTAGGAAGAAGGCTTCAATTACTTCCACAACTAATGACGAGAAAGAACCGTTACCAGATAAAATCTAGACCAACAGTTGTAACCTAAGAGGAAATGCCCAAGAAGTGTAGTCGGGTGAGAGCGACTCAATGTTCAGTGGATAACGATGAAGGCTTAAATAGACCTAATGAGTATTGGTAGAAATATAATGGATAACTCAGAAGAAACAGAAACGTGTTTATTAACACCACATCCAATGGTAATTTACACAGGCAAATAAAGTACATAAAATATTCAAATTACAGAAAATTATAGAATTAAAAAACACAACTTACAGACCAATACAAACCTTATTAAAAATACGTGCGAGTTTCAAACGCCTGATAAAATGCTGAAGATATTCAAGACTTATAATCATAGATACAATAAGTGATAGGAACTCAGAACGAAATAACTGTCCTTTGACTTATACTCCGTGATACATAAATATTTACTTGTTTACTGCGAAAGATCTGCATGAAAACGGTTTGAAAATTGTGATTGTTAATTATGATTACATTGCGATTCTTTTGGCAGTGCAAGGAAGATTAAAAATTTTTATAGCATTCCACTGAAATTATGGATTTTAGTGAATCTAAGGAGTAGAAAAATGTTTTATTTTTAAGGTGAAATATTAAAAAATATAACTCGGTACTCACTGCAGTGAGTGACAGAGCGCATTTTTACGGACGGAGAGCGCATTTTCACGGCGAAAACATGAAGTCACGGACGGACAGACAGACGGACGGACATGGCGAGCACAATAGTGCATTTTTTCCATAAATGAGAAAATGCGCTAAAAATATGTGGATATTGAATATTAAAACAAAGTTAATAATTAAAAAAATAGATTTTTTTGTGGGGGAGGGAGAATGTGAAATTAAAAAATAAAGTGGCATGCCATTGTTTACATTACATAAATTGTGGGGTAGACTCGATTATCTATTATTTAATTAACATGAAAAAACAGACAATGGACAAAACACGAAAAAATGGAAAAGTTCGTAAAGCTCAAAATAGCACGAGTGAAAAAAACAAAGAATATTCAACGATAAGAAAATTGTGCAAAAACATTCGTGTTAAAAATTCTACAAAAATATGTGCTCCAAGTGAAAACAATTACATTTTGGCGAAACGAAACTAATAAAATAAAGTTTTGGGAAAATCTCTTGCCGAGATAAAGTCGAATCGCATATTGAGTTCTTAACGATAGAACGACAAACATAAAAAGAGATGTCCCGAGCAACGGCGCTTAATCGGTCCTGCCTCCTTCAAACGTCCACCGGAACTCGTGCTAATAAAGCCTTTCTCTGTCATCAGAATTAGGGACTCGGTGATCTGATTATTTGAAAACTGTTTAAATTAATTTTACAAGCGCAAAAATTCAACTAAATGCATATTTAATTGCAGTTGTATATTTGACCCCATGATATCGACTAGCAAACAGTTGCCGGTGACGAGTTAATACGAACTGAAAATTAAATTTCCAGAATAATCAATACAAAAAAAAAAAACAGATCGAGTATCTTAGACATGCCAATTAGCGATAACTAAATAAACTAAAATACATTTAATCAATTGCAGGATAACAGCATGCCGTGAAATAATTAAAAACAAATAAAAGTTACAAATGCACACAACTGTATAAGAACAAAAAATCGGAACACCAAACAGATACAGCGCGAAAAAAAATGGTTTCCAATACTAAAATTATGCACCCATTAAAACGCTGCTGTGTATTGAGTGCATCAACTGTGCGTAAACATGCAGATGCCACAAATGAAGGGAAGGCAACACGCAGGAGTGGCAACACCTGGCAACGCTCGCCACTCACGACGGGTGACAGCGGCTGGAGGGGGGTGCCAGAGCCAGCGCTGTGAGTGCCACTGGTGGTGCCATTGCCAGCAGTGACAGCCTCTCCGATGTTGCCAGTAGACAGGTTGTAGTGCGGGGCCAGGAACGTGTAGCGCTGAATACACCCATTTATCACACTCAAATAACAAAATGAGTAAAAAAACCTTATTAATAAATCAAGGCACAGAATTCACACTCAAATAACGAAGCTAAAAATATCATCAATCTTAATCATGTCATCATAATACAGAATTTCCAGTGCACAAATCAAGATAAACTGAGCCCCCAGCTTAGTTTCAATCGATAAATATAACATACACGAGTGCTTATCCACGAAACTAATTCGTTATTAAACCTACACGACGCACGATAACTGTAATTAATTTCCAGTCCTACTAAAAACTCAAGATATTTAATTTGTGAATACAAATTGAAGATACACGTCGTATCCATTCGTGGTGTGAGTGCAGTCATAAATATAATTTAAGTTTAAAGAACAGGTACGAGTTTTCATACGAGTATAGAACTCATAAGAGGAACACAAGAGTTCAACTCGGGGCTGGCTTGCATGAACGAGTCTGTCACATGTGACATGTTATATAATTGTACAGTGACAACCCTGAAGTGACAATATAAACTTTAAAGTGACAACGATTCATCTTCGCTTTACCAAAACTTGAGGCTGACAATGATTGCCTGAGTACCCATGATATTGCTTAAATATTCTCATTCAATTAGTAAAAACGGCAGTTGAATATAGTTCTTGTGAAAAAATATTTGCTTCAGAGAGCGAACTTTTTATAAATTAAATATTCGTGCCGATAGCGGAGAGAGAAGAACAT